TCCTTGACTTATTTATCACCATAAAAAAGACTACTTGAACTTTTTACTTACCGTAAACCTACACAAAAAAATTATGTTATCCACTTTTCGTCAAAACATCCACTATCACAGAAGCTCCGCAGTTTTATTCATATAATAAATTCCTTACCTCTTTTACCAATTGACTTCAATACAGAATTGAACATTATTAAACAAATTATACAATACTGCAACACAAAAGAGAGCTTAGACTCCTCCAGCAATCTGCCTTTCTCCCAATTTCCAATATCTATCAAATTCAAGCTTCTTTACCATTTCATTAGTCCAAATTATCTAAAAGAATCAAACAAATTATCACTACATCTTATGAGAACATCAAACTTTTATTTAAGGTTAAAAACACATTTGGCAAGAGTTTAACCAATATCAAGGACCCCATACATTACATTAACCGCAGTGGTACATAAAAGTTTTCTTGTTCAAATTTCAAATTATTTACTATATAAACTGTCACAAAAGGTGGAAATATACGGGCCATACCTTCCAAAATGCCTATACCCAATAAATTCGAGGTGAATCATAAAGTTGGGCATTTCTAATGTTTTGTGACAAATCGTAAAATAAAAAGGAGGTTATTAAAAGGCAATTAGTATGTAAAAAGTTCCACCTTGTTTACAATAGTTAAAATACTAGCATTGATAGGATAAAATGGGTGATTAGTACCGCCCTCGCGATATATTAGTACACAAAACCAAACTTATATGGAGTCGTCATGTATTTCAAGACAATATTTCTTTTGAAAAAACTTTTTTTATTAAAAATGGTATTGGCAAACTTATAGAACAGCCGTTTAACGACAAACGAGACAGAATAGATAACGCGTATTTCATTGAACAGACTAAACCAGAAATAGCAGAAAGTGAAGTAAAACACACAATTAAAAAAATGAAAACTGGGAAAGCAGTAGAACCAGATAAAATACCGACAGAAATATTGCAATTTATCGCTGACTGCAATATAAATGTTATTGTAGAATTATTTAATATCATATACCGAAAAAGAAAAACGCCAGACAATGTTACAATCACCGTACCATCAGTCTAATGTACCACATACTAGAAGTATTCCTAAAGATTATTAATCGTAGAATAGATAAAAAGTTAGAACAAGACCTTGGACAAACTTATTTCGGATTTAGAAAAGCTCAAGGAACCAGAGAAGCATTATATGCAGTAAATGTGCTAATACAGAGATGTTTAGACGTAAACCAGGCCATCTATGTCTGCTTCCTAGATTATAACAAGGTATTCGACACAGTGAAACATATTCCGTTAATAAAACTACTGAGAACAAAAAAACATCGACACACGGGATATAAGAATAATAAATAATCTGTATTTTGAACAAGAAGCTGTCATAAGAATAAATAATTTAAAAACTAATAAAATAAAAATCAAAAGAGGTGTTAGACAGGGCTGTGTCTTGTCGCCATCAATATGTAATGCATACTCAGAGGAAATATTTAAAAAAAGCATTAAAAGATGAAATTATAGCAGGCATAAACATAAATGGCCTACCGAAACGTGAAATTAGATATTCTGATGATACAATACTAATAGCAGAAAATAGTACAGCTCTACAAAGAATTTTAGATAAGATTGTTGCAGCGAGTGAAGAATTTGGTCTGTCACTAAACATAAAGAAATCAAAATTCATGGTTATATGAAAAAACAATATTAGATATGTATTAGATATTAAATATATCAGTATTGTTGAGGGTGTGTGTTCATTACTCTCAGTACTTCTTCATTCGTAGTTCTGCTGGTTCAGATTATTCGTAACATTTGGCGGTACATCCACATTTCCTCCTCCTCAATCCTTTAGCCCTTGTCAGGGCGTAGTGACACCCTAAATATTGTTAGTCTACTGTCTCCATTGACTGCGATCTTGTGCCATATGGACGGCTTCATGTAGGGATTTTCCCACCAAACTCTTCATTTGGTCTACCCATCGTATTGGAGATCTTCCTCTTGGTCTTCGGCCTTCTACCTTTCCTTCTACTACCAATAGTTCCATGGTGCCCGTTCTTTTAGCTATGTGGCCGAAGTAAGTTAGGTATGCTTGGCTTACTTTTTTTAGTAGCCTGTCTTTTATATGAAGCTTTTCCAGAATTGACAGGTTGGTTCTATGTTCTGTCCAGGACACGCGTAGAACTCTTCTATATACCCACATTTCGAAGGCTTCGATCTTACTCCTATCGATTTTTTTGAGAGTCCATGTTTCAGCTGCATATGTAGCAATGGGAAAAATAAGGGCATTGACCAACCTGAGCTTAGTATTCCTTGTTATTGTTCGGTCTTTCCATATTTTAATTAATTTAGCAGTTGCGGTTCGGGCCATTCCTAGTCTACGTTTGATTTCTGAGGAACAATCACCATTGTTGGTTATCAGAGAGCCCAAGTATACAAATCTGTCGACTACTTCGAAAATCCCTATTTGGCGTATATGCGGTAGATTATTATTTGCTCTGTCTACAATCATTATTTTTGTTTTTCCGGTGTTGATTTGAAGTCCGAATTCTTTACTTACTCGGCTTAGCCGTTCGATGACGGTAATCATTTCGACTTCATTCGCTGCTAGTATAAGTGTGTCATCTGCGTATCGCAGGTTACTGATTTTTCTGCCTCCTATAGTGATTCCTCCATCCCATTCATCTAGTACTTTTCTCATTATATATTCAGAATATATGTTGTACAATAATGGTGATAGTATGCAACCTTGTCTAGTTCCTTTCTCTGTTTTGAATGCATTTGAATATATTACATGTACTTTAACTTTGGCTGAGTTTTTATTATACAGATTTCTTATTAGGTTAACTAGGTGGTTAGGTACTCCCATATTTTCCATTATACTCCAGAGATGATCCCATTTTACTGAATCAAAAGCCTTTGTGTAATCTACAAAACAGAGCAACATTGGTATGTTATGTTCTCTCGCTTTTTCTACTATCTGTCTGGTGTTGAGTATTTGCTCACGCGTTCTCTTTCCTGGTACAAATCCACATTGTTCTTCGGCTATCTCTGGAAGTAGAAAGTTCTTTAGCCGTTCATTGATTATATGTAGCAGGATTTTGCTTGCATGAGGGATAAGGGCAACGGTTCTGTAATTGCTGCATATGGTTAGTGATCCTTTTTTATGGATAGGGATCAAGGTTGATTCACACCACTCATCAGGCCATTCACCTGTGATCCATATCATGTTGCACATATCCAGCATTACATCTACGCCAATTTCGCCTATTGCTTTTAGAGTCTCCGCTGTTATGCCATCGATTCCTGGAGTTTTTTTGTTTCTTAGTTGGCTAAGAGCCTTCTCTACTTCTGCTCGTAAAATGATTGGTTCAGCCTCTCTGATTGCATGTTTTTTGTGTTCTGAGACTGATGCGTCATCTTTTGAAGTGTCTTTGTATAGTTCTGAGCTGTAATTTTTCCAGGTCTCTGCGATGCTCTGTATGTCGGTTTTTACTTCTCCATTAGAGTCTTGAATGGCTTGAAGTTTTGGCTTGAACTCTCGGGCTAAATATTTAACTTTTTTAAATAGTTCATGACTTTTATGGCGGTTTGCATGTTGCTCCAGTTCTTGACACACGTTATTTACATGGTTGTTTTTGTCTCTGATGCACATACATTTTATTTTCCTGTTTATCTCCGCTATACACTCCGCTATATATAACACTCTGAGTGTTGCTTCCTGTTTTTGAGATATGTTGTAGCATAGCTCTTCTTTTTTCCACTAACTCTAGTGCTTCCCTGACATCCAATGTTTGTTCTTTTGGGTTTTACGCGGTGTGCACTCTTTTTCCACTGAATATATCCAGCTTTTTATTCCATTCCACATTTTATTTGTGTCTTCTAATACTTGTGTAGATAATGTGTAGTAATACATCCACATTTCAAATGAATTTAATTTGTTGACGTCATACTGTTTTAATCTCTAGGTCACACAGCCGTATAGTAATAGAGACCACACATAACACTTTAGTGTTCTCAATCTTATTGAGACTGATAGCTTGGGGCTTCAGAGCATTTTACGCATACTCATGAAACCGGATCTTGCTATTTCAATACCTCTTCTAGTTTATTTGAGTAGTCTAGTTGACTATTTAGCTCTCTGCCCAGGTATATGAAGCTTTGGGAACTCTGAAGGGTAATACCATTTATTTGTATGTTTGGTGTAACTTGTTCATGGGGGTTTTTGTGGAATACCAGAATTTTGGTTTTGGAAAAGTTAATGTCCAAGCTCAGCCTGTGACTTTCTTCTGATAATATGTTTATCAATATTTTTAGTTGGTCTTCTGTTTCTGCTAATACTACGGTGTTATTGGCATATCTTATATTATTAATGATGATTCTATTAACTCTGGAACCTTCAGGGCGATATTCAAGAGAAGCTTTGATTATATGTTCGGCATATACATTAAATAATAGGGGGGACAAAATGCATCCTTGACACAGAAGAGACACAACAATTTGGAATCACTGCTTTAGAATCACCATTTTAACGACATTAGTATCATTAATAAATTTAATTGGTCGATAAACACGGAATATTTTGGCTTTATTTATGTATGATACAGTGGGGGAACAGTTAAAATTGAATACGTAATTTTTCAAGTTTCATTATATTTATATTAGAAATTATTAAACAATTCTGTTGTAACTGCAAAATTACTTTCACCATCCTACATTGTGTTTCAAGACAATAAGCATATAATTATTAACAATTTAAAATCGGTAGGTAAAACAATTATCTGCCAAATAAGTCCTAATCGACTACTGAATAAGTAAGTCACGGAAGATTTTCGCTTGGCTATCGCGTAGACACGATAACACTTTGTGATATTAACGCTCGGTTACGTACGAAAACTAATGCGATATATACAGTAATATTTATAATATGTACATATAATATAAAACAAAAAAATTGATATAATATTTAAAATTCCTTTTCAGATTTCAAAAATGGGTTTAGGCGGTAAACAAGAAACAGAATACACTTTCACATTACCCGAAAAAGAAAGAAAAATAGCATTAGAAGAACTTAGAGAAGATGACAGCATCCGTGAACAATCATTAGAACAAATGAGAGAGTGGATTGCCAAACATCCCAATATCAAGAAATGTAGAACTGGTAAGTCATTTTTGAGTATGAATAAATTTGTAAATCCTCCTCCTCTATCTTTTCTACTTCATAAGGATGTAGTGACGTCATGTTATTTGTTTAACTATTTCTGTCCAATTATCTCTGTCCTGTGCATGTTGTTTTGCTTCTGAAAATGAGTAACCAGTCATCTCATTTATTTGGTCCGACCATCGTACTGGAGATCTTCCTCTGGATCTTTTACCCGCTACGTTACCTTCAACTATCATTCGCTCCACGCCTTCTATTTTTCTAGTTATATATCCAAAATATCTCAGTATACTGTTCCGTCTCATTATAATTTATGACGATGATAAATTAAATAAAAGATTAAAGTTATGCAGAAAGATGTTGATTTTATTGACAGCTACTAGTAATTACACAATATGATGTTCGTTAGGTAACTACTTATAATAAACTGTGCTCAAATGAGCTCAAATCCCCAATTTATATTCTCACAAATAATTCATACCTCAGCACAGAGGTTATTGCTTTTTATCATACCATACCAACAAACTTTGAACTATTTGCTTACATTACATTTTAATCTAGGCCTTAATTGCGACACTTAGGAAGTTCAATTAAAAAATATATTATTCGGAAATTTATTTAGTTGTAGGTAATTGAACTAATATTAAAATATTATACGATATGGTTTTACAATGGCTCACTTATACACGGTAAAATTATAAAAGATTAAGAAGTTAAGAATAATGTGAGATTACAAATTAAGGGATTAATTTGTGATTGAACAGCGGCAATTCTTAAAGTTTGGTTAAATTAGCTTCCAGAAATCTATTAAAAGATTAAAATGTTTATCAGTTTTACATATTTCTGGGGAAAGTTTGTAGACTATAATCCCTGTCTTTAGAAATTAGCTAGTTTTAACATTTACAGTCAGTCGAATCAAGCGGTTCTTTGGTCTCATGCCCGCTACGTATTTATGTATTTCTGAGAAGGACAATACTGCTTCCCCAAGACATGCTTCCCCAAGATAAAATTTTATAGTTTTAACATAAGACCTCCCATCGACTAAGGGCTTCTGTTAGAAGCTTTGTGATGTATTTTTAGCAAAAATGGAAATATATGTACAATATTTATTTTAATACATGTACAATAAATAATGTAAGTTTAGAAGTCTCCATTAACTTATTCACCTATTATATTAATAATTATTTACATACACAATCTTTCCTCTTCTACCGTTAGGTTAAGAGGGAGGTGCTTCAGGCTTTTAATGAATTTTCTCCATTTTTTCTGTTCTTCGCCATTTCTGTAACTTCTTGAAAATATTTATTCTTATTATATAATATCTTTGATGTCTCTGTTTTACTCTTTTATTGGACAAGAGTCACTTCTAATTTTCCCTACCGGTTTATCTTTCCACACTATTTTTACTTGTCTCTTTTGACGTCATATAACTTAACCATGCTAATTTTATCTCCTTTATTGTATTAAGAATAAAAATGTATAAAATTGGTTTTTACAGCGTTAAAAATGTGGTTCAAATTTCATAGTAATTCATCCAATATTTTAAAAGTTATTCAATTTGTTTCCTCTAAGCAACTTAATTGTCAAGCCACTTATGATGATGTTGAGATTAAAAATTCTGTCCCTAATCTTTCAAATGTCGCTAATTAAGTTTCTTAATTATTATAAAAAAAGCTATAAATTAAAAAAAAGTAACTATGTTCATAATATGCTTTAACACTTAATAAAATATAAAAAAATATATGCAATAACATTTATGTTTATGCTAATCATAAATTATACAAAGACGGTAATGATAGTTGTTTTGTTAAATTAATATTATCATTAAATAATATCAAATATAAATTTAAAAGGTTTAACAGGAAGTCATTTGTATGTATAGTTTAAATTCATAGTTGATGAACTAAAAATATTTTTCCATTAATTTCTGTTACCAAATGTAGCGTGTGTGAATCAACATTTTGTGACAGATAGTTGCTAAAACTTTTAAAGGTTCTTTGTAAACAAAAAAACTAGGAAGAATAAGTAATTTTACAAAACAACTGAGGGCTGGTGTATTAATTGAAGTAAAGAAAAAAGGAAGAGGAAATAAAAAGATTAGCGAATACCTGCCTTTCTATACTGGCGTAGAAGAGAGCGAACGAGCTAAAAGGGGAGTGTCTAGCATTACATAAGAAACTGAAAAAATGTATTAAATCATGACACGAAATAGATGAAAGTATTATCCTCATGGAAATTAAGAAAAATGGCCATGAAATAGTGGTTGTTGGAACATATGCACCCACGGATGACTCAAGGGTTGACAGCAAGGAAGAGTACTTTAACAAGTTAACAACTGTTCTAGCCACAATTAGTAAGAAGAAAGAAATTTGGATCTTAGGTGATCGTAATGCAAGAACTAGAAAGAGCTCCAACAGTGAAATAGTAGGGAGATATGGAGAAGACATTCTGAACGACAATGGTCAAAGATTAAAAGATTTTTGCGGAACACATTCTTTAAAAATATTAAATGGTTTCTTCCCCCATAAGAATATACACAATTTTATATGGACGCAGCCTACCAGGAATTTAGAATCAATAATTGACTATTTCATTTAGCGTAAAGATTCTAAACTAAAAACGAAGGACGTGAGGGTGTTTAGAGGGCCAGAATGTGGAAGTGACCACCATATAATTATTGCAAAAGTAATGGTGACATTTAAGAGAGAACAATCAAGTCACAAAAATGATGAAGTAACAGACATAGGAACAACCATAGAAACATAAAATATAACCTGAAAAGCTTTAAACAAGATTCGACAAAGTTCTTATATAAAATTAGAATAGCTCAAAAAATAAAAAATATAGAAACCAAGGACTTAGACCCTGAAAGTCTGTATGAGGTAGTTAAAAAATATATTCACGAAGCGGCAAATGAAGCACTGGGAAAAGTTGAAAATCGGATAAAAGGAAAACTTGAATAGTTGTCAACGGAACTAGAAGAGAAAGTTCTCAAGAAAAAACAAGCATATCACATATGGCTTCAGTCCAAAGATCCTCAAGACAGAGAAATACACGCCAAATGGAATAGAGAAGTTAAAAAAGAAGTGGATAAGGCGAAAAATGTAAACTGGGAGGCTAAGTGTGATGAACTGGACAGATTTATGGGTGGAACAAAAGTGGCACAAGCTTGAAAAACATTAAAGCAGTTTAGGAAAAATGAGAAAAATGAAGAGAAAATTCCTCTCATAAAGTTAAATGAATGGGAAGAATATTATACGAAACTGCTGAAAGAGGATAGATTAGAGTACAGATGGGAAAAGATAAGGGAATTAATAGATAACAGAGACGAAAGACAGGAAATCCCTATAATAACATTATCTGAATTGACGGAAACCTTAAAAGAGGTTAAAAACGGAAAAGCCGCAGGGCCTGGAGACATTTCCATAGAGCTAGTTAAATATGGGCCAACTGCACTTTTAGAATTAATAGTAGACCTTTTTAATAAATGTATGTGTGGAGACCAGGAAATTCCTAAAGATTGGAATAAATCTTATATAAGTTCCATATATAAGAGAGGGAATAAAAGAGACTGTTCCAATTATAGAGGTATTAGTGTCACGAGCTCTGTGGGCCGGTTGTACGGCAGAATATTAAAGAAGAGGGTTGAAAGACAGATACAAGATATCGAAGAACAAAGCGGCTTTCGTACCGGGAGATCCTGCCTTGATAATATATTTATCCTACGAGAAATAATTGAAAAGCGTGTCGAAAGAAGTAGAGAGACCCATTTGATATTTATAGACCTTGAGAAAGCATATGATAGTGTCCCGTTAAAGAAAATGTTTAAGGTCCTCGAAAGCTCCGGATTGGATTCGACGTATATCCGAGCGATATATAAATTGTACGAAAATGCAGTTAGTTGTGTAAAAATTGGAACCAGAACTTCAAATGAATTTAAAGTCACTAAAGGCCTAAAGCAAGGGTGCTGTTTCTCACCGACACTCTTTAAAATGTACGTCCAAGAAGCATTCAGGAATTGGAGAAATAAATGTAGATTTATGGGCATCGAAGTGGGACAAGAAACTCTGTATACATTGTTGTTTGCAGATGATCAGGTAGTGGTTGCAACCGATGAGGAAGATTTAAATTATATGAATCGAAAATTATTTGAGGAATATGCCAAATGGGGGCTTACTGTAAACATAAGCAAAATAGAATATTTAAAAATTGGAGGAAATACCACAGATCTGAGGCTTGAAATGCAGTCATAAAATGTTGCGACCAATATAAATATCTAGGAAGCATCATATCAGCAGATGGCAGAGTTAAGATAGGTGTACAAAACCGAATAACTCAAGGGAAAAAATGCACCGGAATACTGAATTCATTACTGTGGTCTAATAAAATAAAGATGCATACCAAACTTCGTGTACTTATACAGAGCAATTGTAGAACCGATTACCACATATGGTGCCGAATGTTGGACGTTGACAAAGAATGAACGAGATAAAGTAGACGTTAAATGGATTATCTTAGAAGGTCATGTCGAGTATCGAGAATGGAAAGAATCAGGAATAAGAAAATACAAAACCGTACAGGAATTAGAGATACTTTTTCAGATAGAATACAAGGAAAGCAATTACAATGGTATGGTCACGTGATGCGAATGGAGGAGGAGCGGTGGTCAAAGAAAGCCTTAATGTATGTTCCGCCAGAAAGAAGAAAAAGGGAAAGACCACCAAATTCCTGGAGAAGAGAAATTACAAAAACAATGCAATCTAGAGGCTTAGAAGAGGGAGATTGGAGAGATAGGAAAAGATGGAGCCTGAAATGCGGGAAGCGGCAATCGCCGTAGGACCCCCGGTATATAATGGTGATGATGTATTGATGACCAATAAATAAAAAGAACGACTTTAGATGAGACAGGGGCATGATTTTAAGAAATACGTTTCTAATTTTAAGAATTCTTATGAAGAGAATAGCACTGAAGAGCGACCAGCTGAGAAGATTAGGGAAGGGTTAGGTTAAAATAAAAACAATGATGCACTGCAGGTAGAATAACAAAACAAATGAAAAAAAGTTGGTTTGAAAAGGTCATTGCAAGTAATCCAGATAATATTGGTGTTGATGCACAAAGAAACGTTATGATTTAAAAACAAGGATACTTTAAGAGATTATTAGTTTATATTAAAAAACTGATCCAAGTGAGGATCAATTATGCAATATATAAATAAGACTAAGCCTTATTTAGTTTGCATGGTTTAAGTATGATATAAAGCACACATTTGCGAATATTATTTGAAATATTTACGAAAATGCAATACAACTGTAATCTTTCAGTGCATGACTGAGAAGATGACAATTGGCAGAGAAGTAAGGATATATTTTGTCGGCAAAACTATTTATAACAGTCATAGATCACGCCTTTAAACGTTCAGAGTGAGATTCAAAGGGTATCAACATTGATGGATAGAAACTAAATCATCTCCGATATGCCGATGATCTTGTTCTCATAACAGGCGACATAGGAGAAGCCAGAGTTATGATACAACTACAGCAAGTAACAGAGACAATCGGATTAAGAATAAGCTACATGAAACCAAAAATAATAATAATAAGATTAAGGATAAGCTATGTGAAACCAAAAATAATGACGAAACTCATCCTCAAGCTAATAGAAATCGAGAAGTCACACATAGAAATTGGGTAAAGATACGTCTTATTTTATAAAATAAGATGAACTCAAAGCAACCAGACATCTGAGACAATTGTTCTAAAAAAAAGAAATTAACCACAAAAAATTAGGATTAATTTCCAGTAAAAATAGTAAATTGTTATAAGGGTTTGTCTAAACCAACCACCTTTATATGGTAAGGAAGCTGTACCTACTTTATGCCCAAATAATTGCAAAGTAATTTGAGGTTATTATAATACCGAAATAATGAGGACTATTTAAAAAGACTTAATATATACAATGTCCAATGGAAATATATGTACAATATTTATTCTAATATATGTACAATAAATAATGTAAGTCTCGTTTATCTCGTTCATCTATTCTAAAACTAATTATGTTTTATTAACTAAAAACGTATAGTCTAGTCGTCAGAGATTTGACCTCTAAAAATCATACGAATAAGCTGAATTTTGCCGGGAATATTAAAAAAAAAAACGATTAACCAAGAATTTGTACGCCATAAAAAAATATTTATAAGCATTTTTTGTGTAGAATGAACCATTCTCTTACAAATAACGCTTGAAATGACCGGTGATTTTGAATGTCAACGCGCGCGAAATCAATTCTAAATAAAATTTATATCAATTCGACAGAAAAAATTCGATATCTTTTGATAAGATTGTGCTATGGACAAAAATCAAAATGCATTTTAAAGGTAAAAAACGCAGCTGTTAGGTAGGTGTTTTAAAAGAAATAAGCGTTTAGCAATTTTTATAATTTTGTACAGATAAATAATATTTATCTGTTTTTAGTAATGAAAATGGAAATGGAAAGATGTCTAAAAATCGCTGAATTTACACATTTATATTACAAAAGATTGCATATGCACATCACTAGAAATGCTTCTACGAAAACGGTATTAGGTAGAATTTGTAACTAAAGTTGTGTTGTGCCGAAAAACGTACTGATGTACTCAAAAATAGCAGTTTTAAATATTTTAGATCGGTTGTAATATAAAAGTATAAATTTAGCATTTCTAGGCATATTTTAAATGTCTCACATTTGTTGCTAAAATTCAAAACCGAATTTGCAGACTATACGCTTTAAAAATTTGCATCTAATGTTGAAACTTCCATGGTGACCGGTCAATGGAAGTGTAGGTAGATTAGGTAATCCTAATCCTAATCCTAATACCTCTAAAATCTAATAGATAACATAAAAACTCATTGTCTCCAAGACTGAGATGTAGTGCATAAAAGTCCTTCCCCCTTTTTAAATTTAATGTTTGTTTCGTCCCTTCTAAGTGTTTTCTGTTTTAGTGTGTTTAAATTGTCCTTAGTGGTTTTAACTTTAATACTTTAATATTTCATATACTCAACTTTGCAATAATCTATCATTTTTCCAATAGAACTTTATCAAAGAAATTGGATAATTACAAGTTGAAAGAATTGCACACCCACACAATTTGTACATCTAATCTTATTCATTGTCATAAAACTGTCACCTTCATAAAACAAATACTCAATAAATAACACACATTTCATAAATATATCTCTTGAATAAGTATAAATAACTTGGTATAAATAATACAATGGTATATAACATCACTTTCTACATCACATCACATAACATCACATCTAACAAATAATCACATTACACCTATCTCTACTTCATTGGATCAAATCTATCTCCCCAAGAACTTCCCGTTTATTGTCAAACAACTACAATAGCAGACTTAAGTTCTCCATTCAACAATACATGATAGTTTCAACCATGTTCTGCCATCCATCAATGAATAGAGTACCGGGATGTAAGTAATGTTTTATTTATTTGCTCATTTATTAATTTATTACAATCTAATAGACTATTTTATAACAATTTGTGGGTCTTACCTTGTCTGTTAAAACTTTTTATACCTTTTTATTCTTTTTATTCATTTTGAAAAACCACAGACATGTTATATTGGCATAATTATTGTAATTTATAACATCTAATTTGTTTATCTTTATTAGACAACACCCTAATATGGGTTTTATTATCTCAGCATTTATTTAACTTTGTATCGAGACCTGAAGATGCTTTGCATATTGTAGAAAGCGAAACCGGTCGTCTGAATAGTTAAATTAAATTTATTGTGAGTAAGTCTTATTTATTATCTCTTTACCTATTTGAAATGGACTCACACAAGCAACACATTCATGAGATGTTTGAATATTTAGGTTAACTGTAGTTATTGATATAGAAGCTTGTAAAATACATCGTATTAACCAAAACCATTTTGTGATTTAGCTCAATGTAATATACGTGAATTTACAATAGAAATTATACACGACCTTGTAAAATCAGCAGAAACTATGTGTTACATAACTTGCATTAAAAGCAAGTTTCGGTTTTACGATATTATTATTAGTTAGTTGTTAACAGCAGTATAGTGTAAACACTGTCTTTTGTATACGTTGTGCGACCTGACCTGGTTTATGATGTAATTGCTGAGTTATCAATAAAGAATGCAACAGTACAATATTTTTTAAAAGTATAACATGGAAAATTGGTCAAGTTATGCTGCCACAGTACTCCTTTCCTCTTAACCTAAATATAATCTTCCCGTAGATCAACATCTGAAGTTTAAAATACCATTTACTTGTCTACAAGGTACCTTTCCTCACCGGTCTGTAGGTCCTTTAAAATAATTTCAAGTTCATTTTCTTTTTCTTAGACATTAAGTTTTTAAAATAAAGATTTTTTACTTATAAAAAAACAATTACCTTGTAGCTAATGTATTTTTCAATTAACCTATTTCAGATAGCACCTTTTTACTAAGATTTCTTCGTACGAAAAAATTCAGCGTACCTTTGGCCTGTGAGATGGTCGAACGATACCTCAAAATACGCCAGTTGTATCCGCAGTGGTTCAGAAAGTTGGACTGTGAAGATCCAGAGTTAAAAGAAATACTCGATTCCGGATATTTATTCCCACTCTTTGAAAGGGATAGTGGTAGATGTGTTCTGTTCAGTTGTGTAGGTAAGTGAATGTAATTTACAGAAAGGTATTTATTAGTTTAAGAGACTAAAACGGAAAGAAGTAGCACTACAAACATTAGTGAAATGGGAATAAATGTAAAATTAATAACGGTGAGAGCATTAAGAGTCCGAGAAACACAGAATATCGTCAAGATATGATATTGCTACGCACTAAACTCTACGCTAAAGTTTTTAAAATGTATTCATGCTTGTGGATGAAACGAACTGTTGAAATTTTAATATAATTTAGTAGATGTTTTATTTACTACGTGAATTTAAAGCTTAAGTATTTAAACTATAATAGTATATTGTAGAAAATAACACTTTTCCCATAAGAGTGAAGTTTAATGGAGGGAGCCATGGCCGAATGTCACAAATTGCAAGTTGTGGAATGGTAGGTTATGGGTAAAATGAAAAAATGAATTTATTTATTACACATCTTTATTCTACAATTTTTGCAATTTTGCCTTTTTCTAGACAAAGTAAAATTATGCAAATCTTTATTTAATTGTCTCGAAACTCGAAAAAACATTCTGGATCTAAAAAATAAAGTTTTTGTCTGATTAGAGCACAACACTGAAGAACTCTCATCTAATATTTTTTTAAAATATTGTTTAGAAACAAATAAATTATGTTTATTTACAGAAATAAAAATTTTCTCCGGTTTTTCAAGATATTCCATCATTTAAGGAGTAGGTTATGAAAGACCTCCTTCACTTAAATGAGAAATCCGAGTGAACTCATTTTAACTAAAGTTACAAATGAATCTATATCCTTTAACTTGTGACATATATAACCTGCCAAATTTTTTAAACCATCACATTCGGTTTAGAAAGTGAGTTCTAAACTGAGCTCACTATCAAACATATTAGTAGGTGCCCCTGAATCAATAATAGTGATATTTTGAATTGAAGAAAAATATTTTCCACATAAAGTTGCACTATCCAAAGGTATATTAGGAGTTTCATTTTCTTCGACATTTTCAAAGCTGTAAAGAGAGCCTTAATTTCTTTCAAGAATATAGGATCGTAGACGGTATTTAAATTGCAATGCATCTGGAATATCATGAAGTCATTGTTTGGCTCTTATAGCTTCAAAAAAACTTTCCGATACATCCTGATTTAACCTAGATGTCAATATATATTTGTTAGAAAATCTAGTTCTTATATCTTCAAATAGAAGTTTTAATTAATAGGTGTCATGAGAATTATTAAATAGTCTTAATGTACTTTTATTTCACCTTTTTGGAATTGAAGCAAGCATTTCTTTCCTTTAACCCGGAGATTTTTCACTGTGTCCGTCATTTTGGTAATGATATCATCTTAGATGTTTGAAGCTAATATAAAGCTTTTTTTTGTTCGCTCCCTAGAGTCACTCAAATACTCTCTGACATTCATAATATCAAACCAATCATTTACCTAAAATTTATTATTTATACCATCGTTATATTTACATAAAAGTATTTAATTTACAAATAACAAAAAAAACAAAATATGCGTACCAGTTTAAAAAATTCTGCACATTTAAGCCAGTTTGCTTGTTTCAATAACCCCATTGTCCCATATCTTAAAATGGTGTGGGAAAATAACTTAGTTGCTAATTTCACTTTTTGTCTTCCAGTGCCTTGAATGTTGAGAGACTCCTTTGATATTTTATGCGTAATTGTTAGATCTGAAGTACCAGTATTATCTGATCTAAAGGCCAAGTATTATTTTCTTCTGATTATCTTGTTCAATATTAACCCTTAAACAAATTCATTAGAGTGAAAGTATACAGGACCATATATTCTAGATATTAAAAAGCACAGACTAGTTAAGATAGTATATAATCTGTGCTATACACTATAACTCTGTTATAGTTAGGTATTTTTTACAACAAACTAACCCAATACTTCTACAAGTAGATAATCCTTCCAAAACAGCATTCTCGGAGATAAAGCAAGAAGGACCAGCCTTCGCATCATCAAAACTGTTTCCACTATTGTTACAAAGTTCCGCTCTACAAAAATAAATATTTAGTAATGAAATTATTAGACATGATTATTTACCACTTTAATATAATAAATATCACGTACCTATTTAATAACTCATCCACAAGTCTTTTTTGTTGTCTTTTATGTTGCTGGTTCGTTCTATCAGAATTCGCCTTCTCGTTCTGTTTATTTGTTTTAGATAAATTTATTAACGGAACAGCGTCTCTAATAAAGAACGATGTTTTGCTGGTGTATACCCCAGCAATTCATGCTTTACATTACGTTCATAATCACTTTCAATAAAGTGCTTAAAGCAAACACGCGCAAATTTAACATTAAAACTATCCAGGCGTTTACACAAATGTTTCCAAACAGATTGAATTTCCTTTCTTTTGCAAAGCTGTAGAATGTTGTACCGGGTACAAAACTCTTGTACCTATTGTCAAAGGCACACCTTATATTGCGTAAAATTCAAACACTCTCAAAATATTATTTTACTAAAAAATATTGGATATGACTGGTAATCTACATAAATGTCAAAACACAATATGGAGAAATCTAGCACAAAGTGACGTCACATAAGCCACGCCTACATGCGCGGTATCTTATCTGTTTATTTGTATCATGTAAACAGATAGGTTTGAAATCAGTGAGGAGATGTCATCACTTGTTCAGTATCCTTTACGAAGTCATCGTCAGAGAATCCGAAATCAACATGTCAGGACTTATGTAGCAACGAAAACCCCAATTCTTAGCACTCACCAATGAAATAGTACTAATATCTAGAAGGACTTGAAAAAAAGGTAGAAGTAAAAGCGGAAAAGAAAGGAATGTACATAAATGAAGAAAATAGCGAATGTGTGAAATGGACAGAACAAGAATATAGACAAGAAGTAGATTTCAGTATTTAGAAGTGACTTGTAACAGGAGTCCAATAATTATGGCTGTCAATCTTTGTGTCTTAATTGGCAGTCTACGTGTCCTGGGTAAAACTTCTTTATACCATAGTCACAAGCTCCGTCTGGTGCCTATCAGAAATATCTACGTCGTTTTTTATAAGTTTTAATGTCCACCAAGGGACACTCTATCCCCGCTCATCTTTATCCTGTGTATGGACATACTCACTGCGGACCGTTAAGAGCCGCATCAATGGTCGCTATTATTTGCCGACGACGTCTTCTTCGCCAGCACCACCAGGCACGAATTTAAGCACCAAACGCAAAAATGGCAGGCACAGATCGACAATTATGACAAAGTAATAAAATGTGCATCTCAACTCAAAAAATAAAGCAGCTAACAAAAAAGACTGGGAAAAAGTAAATTAAACTATGGGCTATTCTGGGTCATACACTTTACCACAGATGAATTAGTCCAGGCATTAAATGCATTGAAGACACGTACGTCCCCCGGACTAGGCCATATACCCGAATTTACACCCGAAGCGGTAAAGTGTCTAGGACACGAGGAGCTTGGGTGGCTTTTGGAGCATATGAATGCATTGCTTAAAGGACAGACATTTCCTGAAGCTTAGAGGAGATTAAGGTTTGTACTGCTTCCCAACCTTCCCAAAACTGGGATATCGCACCATATGCCTTTTTCCATGCATCGAAAAGTTGTACGAGAGGATGCTGCGAGGAAGACGGATCGAAGACACGATTAAGAAATCAGGAGGCCTATCCCCGAGACAATTCTGATTCTAAAAAGGGAAGAGCATAGTTGACATATTTGTCAACAGGTGATGCGGGCATTGAAAGAGATACGGGTGTTGTTCTCCTAACTATCTGCTGAATGTAATGGCGGAATATCTTTCCGAAAGAAAGATCATGGTTGAGAAGGGCACGTTCGTTGACGTAACGGCTGGAGTCCTACAGCGATCACTCTTTGGTCCGACGGTATAGAACATGGCATATGACGGGGTCACGAACTGCGTATATGGAGAAGGTATAACCGCTTCGCTTTTGCGAATGTCCCAATTCATCTCCGTTGGCAAGTGTTGTTTGTCATGATTTTAATTCGCCTGTCATTTATGTCAGTCAATGTTACCAATCTGTACCTAGGTAAATCAGATGGAGGAGATGCCATCTCAGGGCCTTTCAACCTACATGGTTTTTTGTAAAATTTTCGTATTTCTTAGTCGATATGTTCGAATTATTTAAAAAGCGCTGCAAATACGCCTTTTACTCGATTTTATAACGAATACAGTTGCGCGGCTCTAAGCCTTCTACATAAGTTTATTGTATAGAACTATTAACATTAACTATATAGAACTACTCATGTATATGTTGATGATTTAAATTTTAATTTTAGGAAATTTTGATCCTCACAAATTCACTTCTGCGCACATGATCCGTGTTCACAGTTTAGTCACGGAATCCCTCATGGACGACGAAATGAACCAAATTCACGGTTATACATACGTAAATGACGAAGGGGGATTTAGCATGGCCCATATTTCCCTATGGAGTCTGGTAGATCTCAGAAATATTGTGAGATGCATACAGGTACTATGTTCTTTAATTATTATGTTGCTTTTTTTCCTTTTTTTTTGTAATAATCTTTTTATATTAACTGTTATGTATTTTTTAATCCTTTAGTATTTAAGACAGTATTTAAGAATAAATAAAGATATTCTATGGGAAAGAAAATCCAATGTTACGAAACTGGAATAAAATGCAGTTTTGGTTAGAAGAAAAAAGAATAAGTAGAACCCGTTGAACTGAATAGATACAATCAGAAGATAACTCATAATTTTAAGAGAATACAGAATTGATATTATAGAAACCATTATTTATGACTTCCTACGCAAATAATAATTTGACAACCGAAATTAACAATACCATAACACCTTCTTCTTCAGGTACCATCTCCGCTACGGAGGTTGGCAATCATCATAGCTATCTTAATTTTTGAGGCAGTAGCTCTAAATAGTTGTTTTGAGCTGCATCCAAACCATTCTCTCAGGTTATTCAGCCATGAAATTCGTCTTCTTCCGATGCTTCTTCTGCTATCTATTTTTCCTTGCACCATAACACCATACATGAGCAAAACCAAGTTATAAACAGTCGTTTGACAAACTAAACAGAAGAAAAATAATCCAAGACTTACAAGAGAGTAATATACCAAATCAAATTATAAGAATGATAGAAAATGATAATGCTAGATTCCCAAGCATTAATAGACACCGGAAGACAAAGAACCGAAATAATTAAAATAAAAAATGGAGTTAGACAGGGAGATGCGCTCTCAACTAAACAATTTGTCAAACGCAGGAACTATAAACAAGAAGGCAGTACAAATAATAGAATATGCGGACGATATAACCATAGTAGTAACAGATAAAGAGCATTAAAGAAAACCTTCCAAGAAATAGAAAACGAAGCAAAACTGAGGAAACCGGAAATAAATGAAAATAAAACAAAATACATGAACATAAGCACGAAAAAGAAGACACAAATGACAGAACTGACAATAAAAGCACACAGTTTCGGAAAGGTTTAAATATTCGAATATTTTTGAGTACTCGTCAACAGAAGAAATGAAAGTGTAGGTATAAAAAGAAGAATCCAAGCGGGAAATACAAAAACTGTAAAACCAAACCCAGAATGAGATAATCCCCCAAACAAAAAGAATCATGTGAAAACACAGCTTGTATATATATATATATATATATATATATATATATATATATATATATATATATATATATATATATATTTCCTACATATTCACAACACTGTATACACGTTTAAAAGTTGCATAGTAATATAGAACTTACAGAATTTAGATCTATTATGTATGTATATCATGCTTAAATCATGAATATTTTCCAGAACACTACACCTATGAGGCACAAGGGAAACCACTTCCTAAATATGAATCCAAGTGCCGCCAAACTATTTGAGTATTCATCATCATTGCTTAGTGAAAAACTCAAAAGCAGATTACACGTAAGTGTCAAAAGTTTTTACCTAGTTTCATATTTAAACTAGAATCAGTTTTGTGATTTTTAAATCGAGTTTTCATTGAAAGATCTCTGTATTAAAGAAGGTTCGTCGATAAGGATTGCTTTGTAATTTGTCTGGATTCAATTTCTGAAATTGTTGGACCCCAAGTTGAACAAAGTTTACCTTCTTGGTGTATATCAGAGGGCAGTGGTAAGGTCCACACCATTTGCACAATCCATATACTCTACCGCGTAACCCCGTTCTGCGTCTTTGATCTGTATCCAGCGGAAATTTACAATTGGGAATCCGATTTGCACGCATTGTTCCCAACCCAAATATTCCACAAGCTCCTAAATAAACTAGAAGAGACAACGATGTGTAAAAATTGTCACAATATACGATATGGTTTTTAAAATTTGGAATTATTTGTGACAACCGAATAACAACGTTATTGGTAGCTCCAAGGTTTGCGTTCCTGTCACGATGATATTTTCTCTAGCACCATTATATATTTTAAATTGGTACGAATATCTAGTGGTATCGCACAGTACAAACAACTTTATTCCCCATTTATGCGGCTTGTTCGGCATGTACTCGCGATGTTCGACCATAAATGGTATGCCATTTTTGTCGAACACATAAGCTGGTCAACAGATAACAGCGCATTCTTTGGAACGGGATTGAGGCGTTTATTTAAAATATTGACAACACTTCTGATTCTAACAATCGAATCATGTCTTCTTCTTAAAGTGCCGTCTACCTACGGAGGTTGGCAATCATAATGGCTATTTTTATTTTAGAACTTGCTGCTCTTAACAAATCAATCGATTTGCATTGGTACCAATCACGTAGATTCTTTAACCATGAGCTCTGCCTTCGGCCAACAGATCTTCTTCCTTAAATCTTTCCCTGTATTATCAGTCTCAAAATTTCATATTTTGGTCCCCTCATCACGTGGCCTAGGTATTCCAGTTTTCTGGTTTGTATAGTGGTGATTAGTTCTGTTTCTTTACCAGCCCTCTCTAGTACTTCTCTAGTAATCATGTCTAGGTTGTCCTTTTTGAATACGTTCCGCTTTATTGGCAAAACACAAATATTTTTTTCCGTTCAAATTTCTTCAATGGCATACACTGATTGCCCAAATTCGAATTCTCCCCAGTGTGACTCAATGTTGGGATAACGAAAAATGAACATATATAATAGAATTCCGACGTATCTTCAAATCTGCACTGCGTCAACGTTGAATTGTGTGTTTATGTTTCACAAACAATTAGGTCGATGAGTTCAGGCTGCAAAAAAAATAAAAATACTCCATTAGTCTCTTCAGATTCTTAACAGCGTACGGCAATGGAGTGTTTCATCGGAATGGTTTGAATTTAGAAGCTGTTGTTATTTGTGTGGAAGTTGATGCGATTTGTTCTTTTGATGCTAAAGGTACGGGTGATATTAGAACGTCCATTTGAGTATCAGGATCAGTTGTTAAAACTTCTGGTGTAGTTTCTCATATTATAAGTTCCACCAAAGTTAATGTTGCCATTACAGAAGTATATATATTTACATTTGGTTTTAAGATACCCACTAAACCTTCACTAAAATTAGTAATATTACTTAGCTTCAACGGAAAGTTGCAATTGCAGTTGGCAGGAAGACAAGATAAACGCTGGTAAGAGTGCAGCTAGTATGATTAACCTCAACCGTGGTAATAAGCACTCTTACTGCGTAACGTGCTCTCTCTTTTTTGTCGGCAACGATAGGATTTGGCAGCTGCAATCGAGTGAGCTGGTTGAATACCGAGGCCGAAGGTATAATGCTCTAGGGTAGACCAGTGTGGCTTTCAACAAGCCGCAGACACAGCTTGATCGTATACATCGAGCGGGGATTTAACCAGCACAAAAGCTGCTGGTACTAAAAGCCTACTTGCTACCGAAGTATATCGACAAGTTGCAGAGTCCTACCATCTCGATGAAGATGTTGAAGAGCTTTGACAGGTCCGTACATATAGTCGTTCGGAAGTTTCTGTCCCTCAATCGTACGTGCGCAATGCTTACATTCAAGCTCCCACTTAAAAAGGTAGCCTGGCCATCATGGCCATGGCTATGCACGTCCCTACTATCATGAAAAGGAGACTGACAAGATTAATCAGCTCAGCTACTGATACGACGTCATTAACCGTCAGTTTACCATACATGTCACGTCTATGGGAGAAAATCCTTATGGACACGATCATCTTCAGGCAATTCAGCATCGATTGCACGTGAATTAAGCCAGAATTTTGAGGACGGCTATAGCGAAAACTGCCCTACTGGTCGTGGAGAGATTTTATCAAAGCAATCCAACTGCGAGGAAATCTTCTGCCAATAAGAGGCATCCCTTTAAATCTACCACATAATGGAGGTGCCGAAAGAGATGCGAACGTTACGAGAGGCTTAGTCAGGTTTTGCAAAAGTGCCCCGTAGCACATTGGCACCGAACCAAGAGACACTATCAGCTCGTTACGTATCTTCGTAATGCAGTGAAAGGGTGGATTTTTGAGGTAGAGCCGCGAATAAGATGCGCCGACGGGACTTTGAAAATACCTGACCTTGTTGCGCAACAGGATAAGCGGGTAATTGTCGTGGATGTCAGCTGGGAGGGTCCTGAACCCCTAAGTACAGCCGCCGCTAATAAAATGGCGCTGCACATTGAGCCTCGATTTCTTCATACCATACAGACCTCATATCTAGGGAAAACAATTTGCATGGCACCTTTAATCGTGGGAGCTCGCGAAACATGATATCCATCGAATTCTCGTATCATGAGAATTTTAAACTTTAGCACTAAGGCAATTCAGGGTAGAATCCATATTCATAGTCATTTTATGAGGTCCTAACATAAATTGCTTATGAGAATTTTACTTCGAGTATTTATATTGACTTCTTTTCCATCGTGGAGTCTACGTTCGTCTACGTAGTAGTCTGGCCAAACATCGAGCCATAAAGAGCCATACGCTGCTGGTCTGTTACTTTCCGGATCGGAACGGGGAGGAATAGACCAGCAGGATTGGGTCGGTTTTCGGATGTAGGGGGTTTGGTTGCGTAATGATCGTAGCCACCCAGCTGGCATCGTCTGGCCTACAAACTAAAAGAGGAAATGGCGTTTTATGAGGAGTTTTAAAACCTTGCTTTAGTGTTAAGTTTTTTTAGGTAATTTTTTTTCAGTTCTCTATATATTTTTTGGTAGTGATATTTAAATCATGTCTTTTGACTCTGTATTGAAAAACATTATTGTTACTTTACCTGCGCTAATATACAGTTTGTTGTAAAATTTTAACAAAAATGATTTATATTTATGTCTTTTAGGTGTACAAAAATATTGACGACGTTTACGGACATATAGACAAGAAGATTCTACCCAAAGAATACGGCGGAGAGGTACCTCTAAAAGAAATGTTAGACAAATTCAAAACATTCTTGAAAGAGAAAAGAGAATCGATTCTGGCTTTAGACGATCTCTACATCGAAATCGATGAGAAGAACTGTCCGGTGGTATCGGAAATGAATGAAGAACTAGGCGTTGGTCTCGAAGGTTCCTTTAAAAAATTAGTTGTTGATTAGAATTTAAGTATATCAAAATGTTAAGGAAAATATAATGGTAAATACAATAAATATATGTCATAGCTTGTTACTGTTACTGTTCGTTTTTTAAGTATTTTGTTTTAATTTGACTTAGTACTATTTGTATAATATATTATGTTTGTTGTATTTACCATTTGTTGTTCCAGTTCTAAAATTTTCAGGCTTTCGAGTAGCAGTATAATTCATAATTTTAAATCAACTGCAAAATTTAACAAATTTGGGAACTTTTTAGAATTAATTTTTGTTCTTAAGATAGTACACAATATTTTAAATCGCTTTTGCTGTTTCTTTAGTCCTTCTATACATAAGGCATACCTTTTTTCGTTTTTATAGGGGGTGTCTGGAATCTTTAGAAGACATCTCAGTCCAGGACGCCACCTGACTGACCTTAGTCCAGGATTTGTTCTTTGTACTCCTGACGATAGTTCCTGAGGTACTTTAAATTACCCTCTTGTCGCCAAGTCTTCGCCGAACGTCCAACTGCTAAACCAGACCCTCCTCTGCCATCCAGTGACCCGGAAGCGGAATGGCCGCTGTAAGGTTGGCATCACTTTCGAAACACTACCTTCATTTCATTCTCCATTCATCCACATCCATAATCCATTCATCAGCAAGGAGACTCCTGTCTCGTTCCAGGTAGCGCGTAGAAGACCCTCATCGCTCCTAGTACATCATCATTCCCAGACAGGCATTTCCTCCTTCCCTACAGTCTGACTCACGCATTCTAACTCATACAGTCTGACCCACTTTTCTAGCTTTAACTTTCAGCATCTTTCACTTTTATCTTTGCCGTTGGTCCAGCTGTCTTTCTTCCTCTTCTTTTTTCTTGATCAATGCACTTTGAAAAGAAGAAGCAAAGTCATTTGTACCCTGTCAAGACCATGTCTTCCTTCTAACGTCCTTTATATTACAAGTTGTAGAGAATTGTATCTGTCATGTTTACGAAAGAGTCACTGTTCTGTATTTTGTCTGTCTTATATACACTGCTAAATATATTTGATAGCAGCTGTAATTGGTCTTGTCCCAAAAGTTGTATAATCTGGGTCCAGCTGCTTTTTATTTTTTTAAAGAATATTATCTAAATCTAAAGATCTAAACAATGATATACAAATGTACACAAGTGAAAATAATGAGCAGGAATGTCTTAATTTCATAGTCACATAATAATCTTACAATATGAGTTTTGCTCTTAGTATCATCACTTTTCTCTGACACAACAGCTGACTTGGAACTACCTTCACAACTTTAATCAATAAGTAAAATACAATTTAAATAAAACTTGATTACTCAAAGATTTCATGTAGAAATGTTAATCACACTTTAAACTTTACTATGTTGATCTACTAGTTCCCCTACTATTTTTATTCACTAAAGTTAATTTCTTTTTGTTGATTTAAAATAATGTGTTTAGCTGTAACTTTTCAATATATGACATATTACCTAATACAATTTTTACATGGATATTGATGTGATTTTGTAAACAATTATTGTGATATTTATTGTTTTTCAATTACAGTAGATTACCTTCTTCTAATTATTCACAGCTACTTGCTTACTGTATACAAAGTTTCGCTTATTATATGTATTCTGTCAAATGTAGGTCGTTTTAGTAATGACACAAATGTACTAGTCTATAGACTCAGTTTTCATATTTTATAATATGCTTATTATTAATGGAAGATTGAAGTGGTTGACCTGTATTATTGGTTGTATGTTAAATTAATATCTTTATTTTTTTTGTGACTATTTTTATAGAAAAGTTATTACATTTAATATAAAATCATAAAACTAGCGTCTATATTAACTTGGTTGTAAATGATAATAGTTGGAAATATCAAGGCTGGTTTCAGAGGTGGTAAATCATCAGATTTACCAAAATTATCAGATTGCAACCATGCAACAAATTTTAGAAAAAAATTCTGGAATATGGCGTAGATCACATTTTTATATACTACAAAGCAGCCTATGACTCAATAAAAGAGAAATATTCAAAGCAATGAAAGAGCTAGGAGTACCAAATCAGCTCTTTATAAATATAAAAATACAAAGATAAAACTCTACAAAACAATAATATGCTCATTCCTAACATATGGTTCAGAGACCTGAACTCTAACAAAAAGTAAGAAAACATCTTAGGATGTTTCGGAAGAAAAGTTCTAAGGCGAGTTTATAAAGCGATGAATTACAATGGAGTATGGAGAAGATGATACAACTTCGAACTATATAGAATATACCAGCAACCAAATATCGTAAAGCATATTAAGATAAGACGTCTAAGATGGATAGGGCATGTAGATGGAACAAAATGTCGCAGTTAGAAAAACGCCCCTTGGTCACAGAAGAAGAGGAAGACCAGAACAATATTCATGAACCAAAATAACAGTAACAAAAAATTACAAGAAATTAGGTCAAGTATTTTGTTTTCTAGTAAGAGACTAAAAAGTATAATTTTTTAGGATATAGCCATACATCTAGGTTCGGAGTGATAAAAAAAAAGGTTAAAGGAAAACAACGATCTTCTAATTCCATAGAGTTTAAGAAGAACAATAATAAAATAAAATAACACAAACACGGTAAAAATCTGGCTAGTAAGAGGAATATTGGTAGGAACATGGGTGGAAAATCCTGGTAGAGTCATCATAGACGAATGGAAATAAAATAAATAAATGCTATGGTGAAAGTAATACAATTAACAACCTGCTTTTTAAATCAATCTCAAAAACATATAGAAACATAACACCATAACACCTTATAGAAAAAGACTGGATAATTCCATCTTCACTGGATGTACAATTTTAAAGAAGCTATCAGTAAGCTGGACGTCAGAAAATAGCAAATAGTTACTAAAACTCGATCTGAGATGGAAGTAGATAGTTGGTTAGACAGAGCCTATAGTAAACTGAGGCGGAGCAAATATTAGTAGGGAACCAAGATGAATTAAAATAAACATAGTCATGATGATCACCGACATTCGGAAGGGACAGGCACAATATAAAGGTGATTTACCATTCACTGTAAATGACTCCACTACTGCTGCTTCTAATGTTGGCGTTTATCTAGCGATAATGACGCGGTACGCTGATGTAGCGTCTGGATGGGAGACGTTGCAAATATTTTTGACGGCGGGAGCTGAATTAAGGTAGAGAGAGATATATATTATTATAATTAAGAAGAGGTTTCAATGTTGAATGCAATGCTGCCATCCCTTTTATTGAGACAATTGGGAGTCTATTTGATCTCAATGGATTTTAGGATAACTATTAAATTATAGGAACGGATAAAGCTTATAGTTCTGAAATTTTCAAAATCAATATTTAGATCTATATGAAGATGATGTTGGCCTAGGAATAAAACTGAGTTGCAATTGGGAATTGCAATGAAATATTCATAGATTCTCTTTTAAATCTTTTAATTGGTGTGACCTACGTATTATCGTAAACGATATTTTTCTTCTTCTTATTGTGCCGCCTCAGTGGATGAGCGGTCAAGTTCTGTCAACCTTGAGTTCTGGTATCTTCCAACTGAACTTTTGCCCTGCACTTCACCTTCCAATATGATTTGGAGTAATTCATATCTTTCACCTCTCAACACATGACCTACATAATCTACATAATAAATATTAGTCTTCTTTAGGTACCGTCTCCTCTAAGGAGGTTGGTAATCAACACAGCTATTTTCACTTTTGATTTGCAGCTCTGAACAAGTCCATGGAACTGCAATTATACCACTCTCTCAGATTGTTGAGCCAGGAGATGCGTCTTCTTCCAATACTTCATTTTCCCTGTATTTTTACTATATAAATATTAGTGCATGGATTTTATGGGACAGATCTATGAGTACGTAGATGCAAGGTGGATAACATCAATAACTGGGTAAGAAATATAAGAGTAGAATGGGATGATCATATAAGCCGAATGACAACAAATAGAGTAGTAAAGACAACAAGAGACGGTTCCCCAATACGAAGACGATCAGTAGGAAGACCACGAAAACGGTGGAACGACAGCTTATTAGAGGCACATTCAAAAACAGACAGACTGATGTCTACATAAAAAAAGAAGAAGAATAAGGATTTTATTAGTAACTCAGACACTAACATTTTAGTGTTTGTTTACCTGTTTATTATATAACAGGACATTTAAGAGATAACCAATTTGATTGAAAAATGAATTTCATCGTAATAATACACTCTACTCAATTTTTTGGAATGGAATATTTACAAAAACTGGTCCTTTAAACCGGATTCGAACCAACGACGTGTGTATCTTGGATACGGTTGAAACTTTTCAATATTTCTTTACGTATTTTTTATTACTAATTGTCCTAGTTTTTTAATTATTTAGTCTATGAAACTATTAGAAATATTCAGAAACATAAATCAATTTGGTATTTATTTTTTAATTTATTGAAGTTAAAAACAATATTTTTTCTAAATAATAAAGCTTAAACTTTAGCTACTAAAATCAATGTAACATTTTTTTGTGGAAAAGAATCGTTATATATTTTTAAAATCTTGAGAAAATACTTCTCATATCTCTTGATACTATAACTAGAATTATATATATGAATAGGCAATCAAAAGTGGGTCAACTGCTTTAATCTTATGTCTTTTAGTATGTAAATAAATGTATATATTGCCAGTTGGTGGTATAAGTTACCTTTTTGTTTGTGTTTCACAAGTTAACTTGTTAACATCGTTTGATAAGCTTATCTTTTTTAATTTAGGTAGGTTAGATAGGTAGTTGATGGCATTTTTTTAAACAATAGAAACAATGTTGCAACTGATAAAACTTTTTCAATTAAATTCTACTTGTGTGCTATAAACAATGCTTGATAAATTCTTTAAAATGTTATTGAGTGTTTCAAATATAATGGCAGATCTTATCTTTATATAATTTATATTTATACAAATATGTAGATAAGTTTTTGATACGAGTTATATAGCGTTATAGCGAGTTCTCTATTAGTTATGTTAGGCC